AGAAGCGCTTTGGGGCCTGGAAGGTACCGGTGCAGTCCTAAAGGCAGTTTGTGCCTCTGTGGCCGTCAAGTGGAGAAGGACACCACCTGCAGGCCAGACAGTTCACTCTGGCGGGAATACAAAGGATGGTTTAGGGAAGAGAACGGCAACGCCAAAAGCCCGGTTTGGAAGCCGTGGTCTGGTCCAGAGAGAAGGACAAGGCCTGCAGTGAGACAATAGCGATGGGTAGAGGGAAATGGAGCACTTAGAGTCAGGGGAGGCTGTGGGAAGTGTCACCCGGGAACATGGGGTCCCTTTTAAAACAGACTCAGAAGGAAACACGAGGACAATTTTATTGGAATTTGAGAGGAGAAAACAACATTGCCGGCAAGCTGGAGATCTCAATGACGGCTGGCAGGTGGGAGCTAGAGGACAAGAACCATGCCTTCTGAGTTAAATGTTGAGAAAGCAGATGGGCTTAGCAGTGGAAGACGGCTAGGCAGCTGCATGAGGCAGCGAGGGGGCAGGTAGGTGGGTATTGTCTTCAGAGATAATGAGAATGCCCGGTGTCATGGCAACTGGGCTTAGGATTTTCACTGATGTCCAAAAAATGGAGATGCAAAGAGGGGGGGAAAGGGAGCTAGGGAGATGGCTTAGTGGGTAAACCCTTGACACAAATCCTTGCTCTGCAATCTTGGGGGCTGGCCAGGTATGGTTGCATGTGCCTGTTTCCTCAGTCCTGGAGCCAGAGATAGGCAGACGCTGGGCTCAGTGGCCAGCCAGCCTAGCCAAAACACTGAGCTCCTGGCTCAGTGAGAGTCCATCTCTCAAGCCGGCAAGCTGGCGAGCCATAGAGAAAGGCACCTGACCTCACCCCGCTCTGGTCTCCCCATGCATGTGCACAGACACACGTCCCCACAGTCACATGTTTGCACCACATCCCCACACCCCGCCCACACACATCCTCACCAACACAGTGGAGTGGAAGGAAGGGAGGAATGGAAGGAGGAAAAAATTATACTTTCTGAGTCAGAGCCCCATGCTGAGCAGGACTAAAGGGGCCAGGTAGCTTAGGAACATTCAGTCTAGCCAGGGGACAGACAACAAATGACCCCACAGGATAGCCATGGAATGTACTGGTATCGCATGATCGGTTGTCATGTTCAGACCAGGTTTTCTAGCTTTTCGTCCTCTTGTTAAAAACACTGTAATAAAGGCACTCGTGGGTTGTAAAATAACAAGGAGATATCATTCAGAATTCTCCCTGAAAGTTCACTTACAGGACAGTTTGCCTTATCCAGTATGTGTCCCAAACTAGCTCAGGCACACCTCCCAACCCTCATCCTAGATACCCTCATCCCTGGAGTATGACTGAACAGAAATTGTGCGTGTTTGATGGTTGTTAAGGGGAGAGGGAACTCAATTCCATTGTCTGGAGAGAGGTGTACGAGTAGCTCAGTGAAGGCAGGTTCTAGGTTGCTAACGAGTTGCATTGTTTGGAGAGAGGCGTGTGCACATAGCATGTGGCAAGTGCAGTGTTAGAAGAGGGTGTGTGCACAGCACAAGCCAAGTGGAGTCACACCTTACTGAACTATTTGTTGTACTTCCCTGCCTCACTGGGAAGAGGGAGTGAGGCAAAAGAGAATGCACCATGGCCCTTGTTAGCTTCAAGGGTCACTAGCCCAGTGGTTCTCAACCTGTGAGTCTCAGCCCTTTGGCAAACTTCCATCTCCAAAAATGTTTACATAACGATTCATAACAGTATCAAAATTACAGTTACGAAGTAACGATGAAAATAATTTTATGGTTGGGGGGGTCACCACAACTTGAGGAACTGTATTAAAGGGATCACAGCATTAGGAAGGTTGAGAACCACTGCCCTGGCCGATGCTTCCAGGCCTTTTCTCAGATGACCCACAGAGTGAAGCAGACTGAGGTGGGACTGAGAACCTTAGTACATTTAAGTACTGAGGTAGTAAAATGGCCTTGGGCAGTCAAACCAAGTGTGTGACTGCCCAGGGCTGGGTTTATCCAGGAGGCCAAGTGAGTAGGAATAGAGGGCTTTCTGGAGAAAGCCGCTGTGTTTCCAGGGGTGGGAATATCATACTAACGATGCTTGACATCATCCCTGCTCCATCTGAAAACCTCTACACAGAGTGAATCCAGAACCTGCTGAAGGTCACCTCACCAGGAGGTTCTTTCTCAATATAAGCTGCTGGGAATGAGTATAAGTGTTCCAGCTCTGAGGGGAAAGGCTGCCCCCCTAAAGGAAGTGGAGCCCTGCTCCAGCAGGGAAGGTTTCCCCAGTGGAAGTGTTAACAACTCTGAGGGGAAAGGCATCCTGGCAGTTGGGAGTCACACAGTACAACAATCTCACACAAGAGATTTATTGGGAGGGGAAAACTCAGGAGGGTGGCTGCTGTGGATATCGTTCTATATAAATAAAACACTGATGGCCAGTGACCAGGCAGGAAGTAGGTGGCCAGGCAGGAAGTAGGTGGGACAAGGAGAGAGGAGAATTCTGGGAAGCGGAAGGCTGAGTGAGAGCCACTGCAGCCACTGCCAGAAGCAGCATGTAAAGACGCCGGTAAGCCACCAGCCACGTGGCAAGGTATAGATTTATAAAAATGGGTTAATTTAAGATAAAAGAACAGTTAGCAAGAAGCCTGCCACG